ATAGCCCGTAAGTAATTTGATTTTGATACCACCGCTGTGCGTTATACTGTAGGTATATCTGTTGTAAAAAAAGTAATCAATATTTTCAAATATCTCTGACCAATTCAATGAATGTAATGAAAGTAAAAAAAATATCCGGAAATATCATAATGTGAGGGAACAGATTGTTTTGACTTATGCAACTTTGATAACACTATTTAATCGTTTGATTCGCCGTTTTATTTAATGTTAAGTAATTCAAATTATTACCTAGGTATTAAATTGTATATTTAATTAATTGCTAAACTTAACCTAGGTACTATTAAAAATTGATTATTAGGTAAACGTATAAACTTCAATTATTTATTTAAGGCGTATTATAAATAAATATAAAACTATTCAAATTTACCTTAAAAATGTAGAACCTCTACAAAACGTATATAAGTGAGATTTTAAATTAAATTATAATAATATATAATATGTAGGAAATAAGAACGTTACCGCCGAAAGACAATGACGATTACGACATTATCTCTCCGTTGTCTGCAATCGCCGATTGCATAACTACACTAATGAGTAATGAATAATAAAAATCAGTATTCGACTTATCGGCTTATTTTTCCTCAGCCTAATTTATTACCTAATTAAAATTTGTATTGTCACAATGAAAGTTATTTTTTTCGTATTTTGTTCCAACGGCCGTTGATGACACACTTTTGGTGTTTTTTACGATTTTCACTGAACAATGAATGTATTTATTTATAATTTTTCCAATCTGTCTATCACCCACCACAGACGAATCCCTGCAAAGAAACACATATGACATAGGTAGGTAACTATAAAAAAAACACCCTCCTTTTAATATTATAGTGCTTATGCCAATATAGTATATATTGTCTTCTTTCGATTATTATTATTATTATTATTATTTATCATGAATTATTATTCTATTTGTCGGATGTGGTTCTGTTCTGATCATATTTATTATTTTTGTCTATGATGTGAAATCCATGTTATATTGTCGAATAATATGATTATTATTATTATTATTATTATTATTATTACGATATCGCAGTCAAAAGTTTTACAACCAAAGCGACCTTTTTCCGGCCCGTAAATTAAACTCAAATTATTTTATTTATTATTTTCCCTTTCCATTTACCGATTTCTGATGTGTCATGTATGTGTAGTTATGTTTAGAACAAAGGTCTTGTCTACAGAGATAAGGAAAAAACTCTTAGGTTCCGATGCTGAATGGTGTTATATGTATCCGGACTATATAGGTTGGCTGTACATGAAAATCCGACAACAGTTACATAAAACTTTACGTTCGTTACAACCTATAAATCATTTTTGGAATTAGATATAAAGATACAATGTCAATAAATATTTAGCTTTCCTACCCATGGTGTTTTGTTAAAGTCACTAGAAATTATTTTCTCTTGGCCGAGGTTTAGAGATAGTCCAAACCTGTGAACTGCCAGCGACAAACTGAGCGAACTCAAATTAGCCATTAACAAAATTATGGAGACTGTGGTGACTTTGTTCGACCGAGGTGTGCAGTGCTTGAACCCACCAAATTGTTGGTACATAAAAAGATTTCTAAAGGATACCGGTGAAACGAGTATTTATTTACCAAATGTTTCTAATGCAATTTGCATAGCCATAGTTCGTACGAACTGTACATGATGAATCTTAAGACTTTCCAATATGTTTTATTGTGGATTTGGCATCCGATGTTATGTATCGATCACAGAGTTCGTCATATAGTACCTACCTCCTATATACTATTGACATTTCTCTGTATTTGTACGCATAATATTGGTACTAAGTATACTTATAGTTATCGATTTGACAAATTATATTACGTGCTAATAAAAACAATCAATAATCGTATCAATATGATTTTATCGACACCGTGTGGCCATATATTGTTGATCGTTTGATTTATGATGGACAAAAAATCAGTTTACAAGTTTCTATTTACCGAAAAAAAAAAGAAAGACCCTATTTACCTATTCTTAAATATAGCTTATCCCACATTAAAATGTCCGCTTAGCGTTATGCTGGTGTTTATATTAATTATATTTTGTATGTATTTATGTGTACCTATAATATATGACGTATTCTATTACAATATGTATATGTGTGTCATAGTAATATTTTTATTTTATTATTTTTCCAGAAACAACGCTTGAACACTCGCCGCCCCGTTCCAGTATTGTTCCCGGAAACAAGCGATTGATCCGGTAGCAAACCAATCGGTTCGTCGACGTTCGGATAGGCAATTAAGTTTTCCGGGCGGAAAAATCAATTTGTACTCCTCTTAATTTTGTTATTATTATTTTACCTATTTCCGAAGGAAGATGCAGCGGCGTCACAATGAATATAGTTAAGCCGATATCGTCGTTATTGGCATCGAACCCAATAAGCGCGTCCCCTCGACCGGGGGCTGTTAACTTGCGATAAAATAGCACGCGTTTTTCACAATTATAAAATGTGATAACGACCGAGCAAGAAAATCGGCGGACGTCGCCCCAACGGGTCCTATACGGAACGACGACAACGGTGGGAGCTAAACGAGAATGCATTTATTTTGTATTAATAATAATCTACTTCGTTCTCGGGCCGACGTTCCGCCTTTCTGCTCGCCATCGAAAAGTGCGCGCCGTTCATAATCCGACGTTATGTTTCTCCCTGGTCTCATTAATCGATTAGGATTTTATTTTTTATTTTTTTTCCATCCTCCCGATAGTAAAAACCTAAGGTATTTTGTTTTTTTTTTCCGTTTTTAAATCGCATACGGCAGCAGCATAATATTACACTATTACACCTATTATAAACGTGTCGATTTACATATTATAATATTATACGCCGACTCCTCGTACACGCTCCACCCACGCCTATACACAATACCGTAATAATAATATAGATAGGGGCACGGTATACTCCCACCCCTGCGCAGTGTTTTCGCTAAGCCCTTAAAACTCGTACGATTACAATATACACACGCACATAATAAACGTAAAATATATAATATATTATAAGGTACCCTAAACCTATAGCGCGCGATATTATTGTAACTGTGTCCATCTACATTTCGACCGCAGCCCTAGTAAGTATAATGGTTTACCCTCAACCACCCCCCCCCCCCCACAATGCCATTTTCACCACCCCTGTATCGTGTACATAAGTACTACCCGTGAACGCGGTGTAAAGAAATATTTTGTTCAAATCGTTTGGTCGCAGCTCAGGAAGTGCATTTTTATTATTGTTAATATCATTTATTATAATTATACTATATGTTCATCTCTCTCTCTCTCTCTCTCTTTTTTTTTTTTTTTTTGTTATTTACTTACATTTAGAACCATTATTGATAAGTAAATGGGGTTTTTTTATTATTATTATTATTGTAATTCAAATCTGTTTAATTTTTTTTAGGGGTCAAATACAATGGTTATTAAAACCGACAAAATGTATATATTATTTATAAGTATAAGGAATGGTTCAGGCTTGTCGAATTACTTGGGTGTAAAACGATAAATTCCTCGCCTGAAAACCGAACATTATTGTATTTCCATGAGTTTATTAAAACAAAAGCTAACAAACAAAATTTATAGACATTATTGTAAAAAAATATTCGTACAATTATGTTTATTTCTGAACATCTACCTGTGTTTTATTAATTTTACTTGTGAAAATATTTTTGTTTGTTAATTTTTACTTGTACATAAAATATTTTTTTTCAAATATTATGACCTACATTATCGATTTGTTGTTAATAAATCTATATATTTTTCGAAATAAAATCGTATTTATTTTCAGCCAACGATCGCCGTCCGGCAAAGCAATAGTGATTGAATTCCTTACTAAACGTATCGATATTTTAGTTTATGTCACGGGTAGTTGTGCTCAGAACTCAGAAGTAGTTACACATTAGGTATCATAATAGTATTAAATTGTTTTTCACAAGGTTGTAAACATTTTTTGTTGACACCCAAACAAGTTGCAGTGGTGGGTCCTATATATATATATTATGACCTGGAAAATTGGTGACCCGATATAATATTCAGGGACACTTTAAGTGTCGTATCTATTCGAAAGCATATATATTACACTATTTGGACTGCTCTATAAAGTTTCCGTCGGGGTGGGTGGCCCCCGTGGAACACGGATTTCTTGGAAGTCGGGCTGACTTTACTTTATCCCGGTAGTAAACTTTAGAAATTTCTGTGAAACGATAATACAAAATAATAATCATTATTATTATAATTTATAATATAATGGACGAACACCCGAACATTATATTATTATATCGCACTATAATCCTGCAAGTTTCGTCGTGCTGCGTGAGTCTTCTACCCGCCCCGGCGGCCGCCTCCGAATCGATACACCTACTTACGTTATATATATTATTATATAGCAGCGCTGCAAAAACGCGCTCTTCGCCTAAGTGTGTAATATATAGTAGAGCGGGTGGTCCAGTGGTGACCAAAATGTATTTCGACGGCACACACAATATTATTGTGTTGTACGTAGGTGATGTCATTATTATTATTCGACATTAATTCGTGTGCAGGAGGTGACTGTGTATACCGCCCGAGAGACATCAATGGCGAACAATTTGCTTGCACACCCGGTGCGCGTCTCGGCACACCGAACAGAGCGCACTTCCAGGACTTCGGCTTTATCGGCTCACCTGTACGCGTATTTCCGAACCCTAACTGAGCTGGGCACTAGTGCCCGAATCCGGTTAGACTCCGTAGTGCGGGTCTTCACTACGTTACCTAAATGATTTAGGGTACACTATTAAATATTCGTTTACAAAGCATATTTTTGTACCTATTGGGCTTGTACATACATTGGTACAATAAATTATGTCGTCGGTAAATATTTTTCGTACCTAACTTAGTATTTTTAATGAATATAAATCAGTTGGTTATCAGTAGCCGCCGCGACAGGTTGTTCTCAGCGCTCCGATCAATCCCAACGTTTGTGTTTCTTATAATTAAGTTTATTCAATGAATCCTAAAAATAATAGTAGTTCTCCTCAAGATCGCAATCTTCCAGATACTTCAAAAAAAAAAAATACAAGAACTAGTAGTGTTGCTCTCACTCCTCCTTATACAAGTAAAAACAGATTCGCCCCACTTCTAACTCTCCAAGACAACGACAAAACGGACGGCACCGACGACGAAGTCAGCTCTCAACAATCACAGGTTAGACCAAAAATTCCACCTATTTACGTATACAACATTTCTGATTATCAAAACTTCCATACATCATTATCCAATATAACTTTTGATGAATTCTCCATCGTGAACACAAAATCTGCTCTCAAATTAAACATGGATTCCGTTGACGATTATAGAACCGCAACAAAACTTTTTGACGATTCCGGTATAGAATACCACACTTACCAATTCCCAGAAAACAAACAACTATCTGTCATCATTAGGAACCTCCCTGTAAATATATCAGAAGCTTGCATATATAAAGAACTCGTAGAACTGAAATTCGAAGTAGCCTCAGTTACTCGTCTGCAAAATAAATTTAAAACTCCAATACCTATTGTAGCGGTACTGCTATCCAAATCATCTGCTGCGATTTACTCTCTAAACAGACTCTTGCATTGTGTAGTAGCGGTAGAACAAAGGCAACCTTCCAAAGGCATTCCTCAATGTACTAACTGCCAGCGTTTTTCGCCTACAAAAAAGTTTTGTCACTTACCACCTAGATGCGTCAAATGCGCAGGTGACCACCACTATAGTTCTTGTCCAAAAGATATAAACACTCCACCAAAATGTGTAAACTGCCTTAGCGATCACCCAGCGAGCTACAGAGGCTGTACTTTCTATAAAGAAATTTCAAAAAAAAAAAACAATAATAACAAAAATAACGCTACCCAACTTCCAAGCAATTATACGAAATTCAAATTCCCGGCGAACATCTCTAATAGTACACAAAATGACGTAACCGATAAACGTTCATATGCTGCCGCAACTAAAAATAAATTGCAAGATAAACCATTAAACAACACAGATAACGACTTCATGAAAACGCTGTTACCCTTAATTAACACATTCGTTTCTCAATTATTGCAGAAAATAATAGAAAATCTGCCAGCCATCCTTAATAGCGTACATCTAAACTCAAATGGATCTCCATAATACCATTCTATTAAACTGGAACGCCAACGGATTAAAAAATAAAAGGAACACTCTACTAGCCTTCCTTACTCATCATAACATTGATATCGCTTGTATAACAGAAACACACTTATCAAGTGTTGACAAAATTAAATTCCCTGGTTATATCATACACCGAGCAGATCGTGTTACACAGTCACGAGCTATGGGGGGAGTGGTTATTCTTGTTCGTGCCCAAATTAAACAACAAGAAATTCCTAATCTTAACCTGTTGTGCCTAGAAGCCGTAGCAGTGCTAATTAAATTAAACAATAGATACGTTACCATCGTTAGTGCTTATCAACCTCCCAGTCGCCAAATGCACATTTCGGATTACGATAAAGTAATGAGTCTAGACAACTCAATTATAATGGCAGGCGATTTAAACGCAAAACACACTAATTGGGGTTGTCGCGTAATTAATCCGAATGGCACCAAATTACTATCTTTTATAGATAACACGCCTTATACAATTTATGCTCCAAATGAGCCTACTTATTTTCCTACAGATGTCAATAGACAGCCAGATATCTTAGATATTTTATTAATAAAATCATTTCCTTTTAATTGCACGCAAGAAGCTCTCGCTGAGCTCGACTCAGACCATATCCCAGTTAAAATCACAATTAATTCATCTTCACAATCTTATCAGCCAAACAACTCTCTAATTAAAGGAAAACCTAACTGGGATATATTTTCAAATCAAATTAATATCAACTTAATAATACCTAAAACTATACCCACGATCCAAGCTGCAGAACAAATGTCTGAACACCTAACCACAGTCATTGCTGACGCTGCACGAGCATGCTCCAAGCCCACGCTACATAATACTAAAAACATCGGCTTTCTACCTCAATATATACTTTCCTTAATCCAACGTAAACACCATGCTAGACGAATTTGGCAAAACCAAAGAAATACGGAAAACAAAAAGTCACTGAATAAACTCACTAAGGACGTGAGTACGGCTTTACAAAACTACCGTGTGTCGTCGTATAATAGCTATCTCCTAAAAATGTACCCGGGAGATTCAAATTTATGGAAGGAGACCAAACGACTACTGAACCAAGAAATAAACATGATCCCCCCTCTCCGTACAGCAAATCAACTGGTGATATCCGACGCAGATAAATGTAATGTTTTTTCAGAAATGTTATACAACACATTTTCTACCAACCAAACTACAGATATAAATAATGAACGGCGGGTCCATAATTTATTAGAACTACCTGATTACTCAGTTCAAACGTGCATGGATTATGTTACACCCAATGAAATTAAGCTAATTGTCAAAAATTTACCAAACAAAAAAGCCCCGGGCCACGACCACCTTACCAACCTTATGTTTAAGAAACTTCCTGCCAAAGGACTCGTCTTTATGACTTCATTATTTAATTTTTTGTTACGCGTTGGTCATTTTCCACTGAATTGGAAATTAGCAACAGTTATACTAATTAAAAAACCGGGTAAGGATAAATCAAATCCTGATAGCTACAGACCGATCAGTCTACTTACCTCCCTATCAAACATTTTTGAAAAAGTTATCCACACAAGACTACAAAATTTTTTGAACAGCGCAGATGTTATCCCAAAATTTCAATTTGGGTTTAGGTCCAACCACTCGACAGTACAACAGCTTTTCCGTATAACAGAACATATTAGCACCTCATTTGAAAAACATTGCCATACTGGAGCTGTATTTATAGACGTCTCAAAAGCGTTTGATAAAGTATGGCACGAAGGTCTTTTATTCAAACTAAAATCTTTCAATACACCGAAGTACTTATTCAATATTATCAATTCCTTTTTAACAAATAGACAATTCTCAGTTAAAATAAACGAAAATTTCTCTGACCCCCGGTCCATCTCTGCTGGTGTACCTCAAGGGTCCAAACTCGGACCTATATTGTTCAATATATTCATATCTGATATACCGCAATCACCACGCACAAACATCGCCCTATTCGCAGACGACACAACTATCTACAATGAATCCCGCAACGTTGAAGCGATAACAAACAACATACAAGATCACCTAAATCTACTGGCAAAATGGTGCAATAGCTGGAAAATACACATAAACGCTTCAAAAAGCACAGCAGTCATATTTAGCTTACGTCGCTATTCCACTCCACCACCATTAAGATTCGATAACGATTCCATACCTTGGCAGCCTTCTGTCAAGTACCTTGGTGTCACGTTAGACAGGAGGTTAACCTGGGGGCCTCACATAGCTTCTAAACTTCAACAAGCATACCAGTGACTCTCAATGTTATTCCCTATCTTAAACAAAAAATCAGTTATACAAAAAAAATGCTCAATATTAATTTACAAGCAATTACTACGCTCACTTATTACCTATGCCTGCCCTATCTGGGGTAACTGCTCAGCTACACACTTAAGAAAAATACAAATTTTCCAAAACAAAGTCCTCAGAATAATTGCAAATGCCCCATGGTTTGTCAGAAATGCAAATCTCCACAAAGACTTTCAAATCCAAGAAATCAAAGATCTTATAAAAACATTAGCAAAAAATTTCCACTGCTCTCTTCCAAACTCATCAGGAGCAATTCACTATAACCTCCTCACTCACCCAACTCATCGTCGATTAAAACGAGGTCGTCCCCACGACCTCCTACACTAAGCCACTTCTCAACATCCAGATCTCCACTCTACACACGCGCTTCCTCCAGATAACTCTACGACCTCTCTGCTACTTATAGTTATTAAATTATTGTAAATATGTAAATACTAGAATAATATTATTGTAATCACATTGTAACATCTGTAAATATCTTGCAATCACCAATTGTAAATTATCCTTAGTACTTATAAATATTTAATCATCATGTTATACCTGTTAAAACATAAGTATATTGTCAAATATCCCTAGACATAGATAGCCTTAGGCTAGGAATGTCTTAGTTTAAAATAATAAAAAAAAAAAAAAAAAAAATGAATATAAATAAGTATAATAAATATTAAATAATTTATACGATGCGATTTATGCTATACCTAGTCAATTACATAATAATACATTACATTATTTACAATATTGTTATTTATTTACATTTTATGTTTGTAAGTCAGTGTGATTTGGAATGTAAATATTCGTGTGAAAAGCATATTTTTGTACCTATTGTACCTATTAGGCTTGTACCTAGTGCGATATCTTATCTTCAATATTTCTAGCTAGATTTCTTTTAGTATTTCTGGACGTTAATGATACTAATTTCCAGTGGTGTATTGGTAAATAAATTTATGGGTATACGCACCTAAAAGTAGTTGAATATAGTATATACCTATATATACGATATACCTACCTTAAAAATTTTCTCGCTCCGCTCAAAAAATGATCACACTTTGTATTTAATAATCTTTTATAACTTTATTACAAACACTTACTCTTCATGTGTATATGTATATGCAGTGGCGTATATACCCCCCTATATACGCCCCCCAGTTCGCCCTATATTCACCCACAACCATAAAATTAATTCATATATACTCCACTGTGTGTAATATGTACCAAGTATCAATGTATTATTTTTTTTTTAATTAATTCAATTTCATGGTATAAGTCTAGTTTACCGGGCACCTTTTTTTTTGAAATTTTTTTTTTAAAAGGGTTGCCAAACGGTCGCCAAACTCGAGGTCCTCCGCGCGGCATTATAGTAGTGTTGCGCGCACGCGTATAAACGTAAAATCGTTAACTTTGGGAAGCTATAACTTCCAAAATAATCATTTCCGCAATTTTATTTTTGCACCATCGTTCTTAACTCGTCAAAACAATCCTTTTCAAAAAAAAAAATTTCAAAAAAAATATGTGCCCGGTAAACTAGAATTGTTCCCAATTCATATATGATATATATCATAAATAATACAACTTTTATTATCAAATTTTAAAACAATTGTACAGTAAAATACTTATATAGTAGAAGTAGCGGTACGTTTATTATCCATTATCGATCATATAATATTATAATATATTTATATACAAATATTTATATATACTTTATTTGTATAAAATATTTTACAAATTTAAAAGAATTTCAAAATTAATAGAATTAATATAATGAGAAACTAATAGTTCGATTTTATAATTTGGTTATTGGATGACAAGTAATAACACAATACATCAACAATAATTATTTTATTATTATTCTAATTTGTCATTATCATTTAGTTTGAAATGAAATTACGTATGTTTATTCACAGTTTGGGAACCGCTGTACATTGATTGTTCATTGATTGATTGTATTGCTCGGCAGTTTCCGATCGTCTTCGCAAGAAAACGTCGGGTAAAATTTAATCGAACTTCATGCGGGTACGAGGCTATTTTTAGTATTTTTGGACAGTGCACTTTATGTTATAATAAAATATTATAACTAAATATAATTTAGGTTATTATTATTATTATTTTTAAGTTTTTACTTTTGTTTGGTGATAATATGCCTAAATTGTCTGATGATAAATTAGAAGCGTGCGTATACCCATAAAAGACTAATTTTCTTAAAGGTATACGCATAAATCCAAAAATAGGGATCCGGGTATACGCCGTATACCCGCGTATACCCTCCAATACACCACTGCTAATTTCCAACATATAAAGTAGGTAGATATACTGTCAGTCTTATCGATAAACTTTTCCTATCTATTGATGATCAAAACAAGACCAAGACCAAGACTTTCAAAATCTTGGTCTTGGTCTTGGTCTTGCAGACTCAGTCTTGGTCTTGGTCTTGGGCATACACCTTAATATTGGTCTTGGTCTTGGTCTTGCAGACTCAATCTTGGTCTTGGTCTTGGTCTTGCGCAAGACTCTTGCAAGACTCTTGCTATTTTTACAAAATATATAAAAAAAAAACTAAATACCTGTTATAGCTGAGTGTAGGTTTTTTTGCTATGATCACTAAGATGAAACTTAGTCCAATATATTACATAGTATATTCATAAATCAAACATTAACATAAAACAAG